GTGTGTGTGTGTGTGTGTGTGTGTGTGTGTGTGAGAGAGAGAGAGTGTGTGTGTGTGTGAGTGTGTTGTAGGACTAATGTAATTAGTTTTTAATTGTGACCTGAGCAGAGCATTTATACATTCAGAAGAATATGTGAGTATTTTCCCATGCACGATTACACTGTGTTTTTCTCATGTCATGTTTGGAGTGTGTTTGTATATTTCACTGCTTCTCAACTGAAACTGCAGTAGTTTATCATACAGAATAAACAAAATGTTAAATATGAAATGGACCAGGGTTATTATAGTTAACTAAATCTAAAAATAAAACCATAAAATATGACAAAAACTTTATTTCAGCTAGTTGCCAAGGCAACATGATCTCATTTTTGTTCAGTTTAACTAAATAACTAAACTGACTTGATATATATTTGTGTGTGTGTAAATAACAATAATAAGCAGTAATATGATCTCAATTATCCACCTTTTTCAGTGTGACAGTGACGTCTTCTTGCAGTTACTCATAGTTTAATGAGTGTGTAGATGACTGTGACAGCCAACAACAGCACAGCTCAGCCCTGCACACGTTTATATTATTTATACTGAGAAAGTTTCAGTTGAATTAATTCAGTGGATCTTTTTACCCCGTTGTAACACGGATTTCTATGGAGACCGGAAGACGAGAGCATCCAAACAGAAGTTAGAATCCATCAACTGATAAAAACTGATAGCTGAGGTCTCTGGTTTTGTTGATGTCTGGTTTATTTTTGTCTAATTTGACTGGATTTTACCTCATGACGGATGAATTTCTGCTGTAGAGTTTGACTGGACTCTCGACTGAAGATATGAGCATTTTTTCTTCTACCTGTCAGCTAGCAGTCATTAGAGTATCTGCTTAATATCTGCTTAATATCTGCTCACACTGTGTTATGATGGACATCCTACAGATAAGTATTTTTTGCAAGTTCATGTCAACTTATTCAACTAAACTGACTTGATATATATTTGTGTGTGTGTAAATAACAATAATAAGCAGTAATATGATCTCAATTATCCACCTTTTTCAGTGTGACAGTGACGTCTTCTTGCAGTTACTCATAGTTTAATGAGTGTGTAGATGACTGTGACAGCCAACAACAGCACAGCTCAGCCCTGCACACGTTTATATTATTTATACTGAGAAAGTTTCAGTTGAATTAATTCAGTGGATCTTTTTACCCCGTTGTAACACGGATTTCTATGGAGACCGGAAGACGAGAGCATCCAAACGGAAGTTAGAATCCATCAACTGATAAAAACTGATAGCTGAGGTCTCTGGTTTTGTTGATGTCTGGTTTATTTTTGTCTAATTTGACTGGATTTTACCTCATGACGGATGAATTTCTGCTGTAGAGTTTGACTGGACTCTCGACTGAAGATATGAGCATTTTTTCTTCTACCTGTCAGCTAGCAGTCATTAGAGTATCTGCTTAATATCTGCTTAATATCTGCTCACACTGTGTTATGATGGACATCCTACAGATAAGTATTTTTTGCAAGTTCATGTCAACTTATTCTACTAACCCTAACCTAACAGTCTACTAATACTCTAATGAGAGTTCACTGACATGTAGGTGCAAAGTTACTTATAGTTAGTAGAATGTTAGTAGAATGTCGAAATTGGAATCAAAACAAAATTATGCCTATTTAGCTATCATAACTGTATACTGCTGTATGGTTAGTTTTTCCCTGTTGTCCAGAACAGACTTTCTGGGTCTGGGCCGTCGTTGCTGCTGTTTTAGCTGAGTGATCTGTAACTGAAGAGTTTACTGAGCGTCAGAATCCGGTGTGTGTGGTCAGGACTGATCAGAGTCTGAGAGAAACACAGATGGTTTATTTAGCGTCTCTGTCTGATTCAGTGTGAATGTAACATGAATTAAACGGAGCCCAGTGAATGTGACGTGTGTGATGGTATGATGTGAATGATGTTCACTGCTGTTTTTCAGTGTCTGACGGAGCACACGCGATCCAGCCGAGTCACCCATGAGCTTTAATCAGGAGATACGGTGAGAAAACACACGCCACAGACCTGTATGATCTCAAAACACCATCAAATCATAATATGTGTCCCTGCAGCACAAAAGCAGTGTTAAGTCGCTGGGGGATATTTGTAGCAATAGCCAACAATACATTGTATGGGTCACAATTATACATTTCTCTTTTATGCCAAAAATCATTAGGATATTAAGTAAAGATCATGTTCCATGAAGATATTTTGTAAGTTTCCTACTGTAAATATATCAAAACTTAATGTTTGATTGGTAATATGCATTGCTAAGAACTTCATTTGCACAACTTTAAAGATGATTTTCTCAATATTTAGATTTTTTTGCACCCTCAGATTCCAGATTTTCAAATATTGTCCGATCCTAACAAACCATACATCAATGGAAAGCTTATTTATTCAGCTTTCAGATGATGCATAAATCACAATTTCGAGAAATTGACCCTTATGACTGGTTTTGTGCTCCAGAGTCACATATTTGATCAAAGAACTCATGCACTGACTTATATATGATAGCTTTCTTTCTGAGAGTTTTGGTCGAGGAGATCTTCATTAGAGCATCAGAAGACCTGGAATACAGTGCTTATATGTTGTTTGGAGAACTTTTATGATGCTTTATAGCAATTTTGTAGCTCCTGATCGCCGTCTGCTATGATAACATGAATAAAACAGCATACACTACAACAGACAATATACAAGACAGTAATGGTATACACAATGACCAAAGGATATGGGTATTCAATCAAAGAAAGGTTTTCCTATGAATTAATTAGAGAACAGTCCATTTCTCTGGGCATTGTGTGTCTTTCTCATGAGTAAAATGAGGGAGTTTCTCCCCTGCATTCCTTTTAGGCCGTAAAACCAGTGATATCATGATTAGTTGTCATGGTGATCAAGGTGGGGGATGGTGTTCAAGCGAAGCCCTGGCATCCAGTCTATTGAATGAGGGGACTGTGACGATTTGTTAATCTAATGAATAATTGATTTGTTAAATCAAATAAAAATTAGTGTGTCAGATTGGTCGAGACGCTACATATGCATTGCTAAGAGCTTCATTTGAACAACTTTAAAGATGATTTTCTCAATATTTAGATTTTTTTGCACCCTCAGATTCCAGATTTTCAAATAGTTGTATCTCAGCCAAATATTGTCCGATTATAACAAACCATACATCAATGGAAAGATTATTTATTCAGCTTTCAGAATTGACCTTTATGACTGGTTTTGTGCTCCAGGGTCACATATCATTTTTGTGGTTAGTTTCTTTTTACTAATAAACTAATATTGTTAAAATCAGTAGGTTTTGTATAATCAATATGAGGCAATATGTTATAAGCGCATAATAATGTGATATGATCAGAGAGTGGTGTGTGAGATCAAGTGTGTTTTCTGTGTCGTTCTCTCGTGCTAATATCTCTTGTCTGTCAGCTTCGTCCACAGAATATGCCACCATGAACCTGACGCTGAGCTCCGAGCCCGGATTATTCCTGACCGACAGCTCCCCGGGGATGCGGGCCAATCCCGTCACAGCGTTTGTACCACATGACATCCAGACCGCCAATGATTCGCAAGCCACCAATCTGACCGCCAATGCCACTCTCGGACACACAATCTGGCAGATCGTGATGATCGTGTTCCTCTGCGGCTCGCTTTCCATAGTTACCATCACCGGGAACATCCTGGTCCTGGTGTCCTTTAAAGTCAACAAGCAGTTGAAGACGGTGAATAACTACTATTTGCTCAGCCTGGCGTTCGCAGACCTCATCATCGGCGTGCTTTCGATGAACCTCTACACTACGTATATAATCATGGACCACTGGGCGCTTGGGAACTGGGCCTGCGATCTGTGGCTTGCCGTTGATTATGTAGCCAGCAATGCTTCAGTGATGAACCTGCTGGTCATCAGCTTCGACCGGTACTTCTCCGTCACGCGTCCGCTGACGTACAGAGCCAAACGCACCACTAAGCGAGCCATGACCATGATTGGATTGGCCTGGTCCATTTCGTTCATCCTCTGGGCGCCAGCTATCCTCTTCTGGCAGTATTTCGTCGGGGAACGAACGGTTCCTCCGGATGAATGCTACATCCAGTTCCTCTCGGAGCCGATCACCACTTTCTGCACAGCCATCGCTGCTTTCTATCTGCCTGTTACCATCATGACCGTCCTCTACTGGCGGATCTACAAGGAGACGGAGAACCGCTCCAAAGAGCTGGCTGGACTCAAGTGTTCGGGCAACCAAGGGAGTCCGGAGGAATCCGTCGGGAATCCGGGAAGCTCGCGCAGTCACAGCAGTTACGAGCTCCATCCGTCGAGCCAGAGAAGCTCTGGGAGAACCAGAACAGGCCGGTTTTGGTTCTGGCCGTTGAGTCGTAACGCTTGGAAGGGTCGCAGCGGCGACACAGACCGCAATAGCAGCGACAGCTGGAATAATAACGAAACCGCCGTGTCCGTCGACCAATCGGATGATGAGGAGGAAGAGGATGCAGAAGACGCCCAAGCCGTCTACTCCATCTCCGAGAATCTCCACCCAACTGAAGATGCGAGACCTTCCAGAAAGGTATTGTCCGGTCACTCCAAAGCATCCATGAGCTCCAAAGATCAACCCAACGCCAACACCTCCCTCAAAGACGCGGCGCTCACCAAACGCTTCGGCTGCAAGGCCAAGACGCAGGTCAACAAACGCAAGAAGGTCTCTCTGGTGAAAGAGAAGAAAGCGGCGCAGACGCTGAGCGCCATCCTCCTGGCCTTCATCATCACGTGGACGCCGTACAACATCATGGTCCTGGTGAATGCGTTCTGCGACGAGTGCATCCCCGAGACGCTGTGGGCTCTGGGATACTGGCTGTGCTACGTCAACAGCACCGTCAACCCCATGTGTTACGCGCTCTGCAACAAGACCTTTCGCACCACCTTCAGATCCATCCTGCTGTGCCAGTGGCGTCAGAAGAACAAACCCAACAAACCGCAGCTCCAGCAGAGACGGCCAGCAGCTGCTTACCGGAAACAGAGTCCTGCAGAACACTAGAGT